TATACTTACAGAGTTTGGAGCAAGGCCAAATATTCCTGTAGAGAATTCGATGAAGATTCCATAACTCATCACTTTCTTGACAAAACCTGGCAAGATCATCCCCACCTATAAGGAAAGATTACTGATATAAGTAAGCTGGAAAGGAAAATGCAATAACATACAAAATATTTTTCAAAAGTTGATTGCTCTTCAACCTTTTCTACATCCCACCCTTCCACAAATTGCTGTCATTTTATTGGACAGGTCTATTTACGTACATGCAAAACGAAATAGAAATATTGATGGTTCGCTTCCAAGGAAAAAGTTAAAAAGATTCAACTTTTCCGCATGCAAGCCATCCATACATGAAGCGATCTGTAAACTCAGTTAAGCCTGAGATTCATGTCCGTGTAAGCAAATAAAGTACAAATTCATAGACGTCAATCCCAAGCTTTTCAGTTGTTTGGATTCTTGTTATCCATGAACAAGTCACCAACTCTGTGGTTGAACTAATTTGATATTTACCTCCACGTCCTTGAAGTTGGTCAGAAGGCTCTTCTCTGATGCTGCTTTCACAAGAGACGGCTTCAAAGAGACCGTCTGTGACAAGTATGGGTTAAGGAATAAACTTAATGTCATGTACCTTTACAATTTATGCAACAAATTTCGATTACATCTGTCTAACATGGCGGCGAAACGTAGGGGAATAAAATAAAATAAATTGTTTATTGGTGCCTTAATGTCGTTGCGATTTCTATTGTTTTAGTCCCCAAAGCCTCGGAGCCACGTTGAAATTTTAATATATCGACATTGGCCTATGGCATGATCACAAAGGTCAAAATAATTAGCCATATGTACGAAAGCTCGGAAGATCACGTTACTAAACTGGTTACAGCTATAATTAATAATAGACCAATTTCGTATTCTCGGTATTGGATGAAACTAGCCAGAGTGAAATGGAGGCTCATGTGAGGGAATATCATTAAAAAGAGATTCATTTGAAATGACTTCCCGCATTAGCCTCAGTTGCAAGCTAGTTCCAGTCCAATACCGTGAATACGAAAACGATCTATCTGTAATATGTTGTAGTGATAAGTCCTTTGCACCTGGGGTCCATGGGTCCTAATTTTGGTCGTCTACTCTTAGTTGCTGAAGAGCTATGTTATTTTTACACTCCAGGGAACTGAAACTTGGTTATCACGTTCTTTCTAGTTGTGATTCTCGTCTAGTAGTCACCCATAGACCCCTAGGCTCAAAGGTTGCCATATAGGTCCCACTGATGTCTTTGAAGTCTAGATATATATCTGGGTTTATAGAAGCCTTAAGATATCCTCATTCAAAATGAGGGCTGTGGAAGATAGATTTCCCCAAAGGCGAACCAAATAAGAACGCTTCTTTTCTCGTGTTTCATATCAAACCTACTAAACGTCATTAGCTGCAATTTGTGATATACATGTATTACGAACAAACTAGGATACAATAGACTTGTCCTTGCTCTTGCCATAATAAACAACATTTGTCAATCTAGTTGAGGGTTTGTACACAGAAAGAAGAGCCTCACAGTTACTCAGATGGTCAGACAAATGGGTAACTGGAAGAAATGCTGGCGCACCGCCGGAATGAACTAAGACGTCCAAGCCTTCAGGGGTACTGCCCACCACATCGGCCTCTAACAACTGTAGCAAAAAAAAGGAGAGCACAGAAAGTGCTTTAAGCGAAAAACGAATACAAAATAAAGACATTTGAGCCAAACTTAAAGCTCTTTGAAATGCGAGTTTAGTTAACACGCTTCATTCATGTATGTACCATATCTATTACATCCAGTGAGGTCTCCTCTATAGAAAATTAAAATTGTTGTGATTAATATGGTGGGTTACGTGTTTTGTACCCAGCGGTTGACGAACGTTCACAATGTGGTGCAAAGAGTTCAACATGGCGTTGCCATGAATTTGAATTTAGATATAATAACACGGTGCGTGGAGTTGGCCAATCAAGTTACAGCTCTAAGATGTTCCAGGCGATGGCTTAGTTAGAGAGCAGAGTAAAGAACAGCGAGTGATAAAAATGCTGGGGACTGGGACCCCAACCCCTCGCCTTTTTTCACTCGCTATTCAAAGGCCTGCAACGAGATACTTACAGCCCCTACTGCTTTGTCATCCTCCAGAGCAGGACCAGGCCTGGAGCTTGTCTGCAAGCATACAAACACAGTTTCAGTGACACATACAGTGAGCCTTGTACTCTACAACACATCAAAGTCCAAGAGTGATATCGAAATTGGACACTTGTGAAAAACAATATAGTTTAGCGAGGCAACCAAAATAACGAGAATTCTAAAAGCTTAGAGGAAAGAAATGAAAAAACACAGTACGGACAGTTTGTCAATGTAGAGCATGTAACATTCTAACTCTAGATTGAGAGAGCGTACAAACTTGGAAGATCGAATCAGCTTTGTTAACTTGAATAACAATTCTCTGAAATATCCCAATCCTAGTACAGTTGAAAATTGGCAGTTAGTTTGGTAGGTTGTGGTTTGAGTGCTATACCTTAAATGAAATTTTTAATTTGGCCTGATCAGGCTGACAATTGACGACATGGCACAACATCACTTGACCAATGTAGAACGCACTTCGAGGATCAGTATCAGCTGGAATCCTGTTCATTCCAAAAATACGACAAAAATTCTATGGTGTGAATTATCAGCATGATTTGATAACGATTAGTTAGCCACTGTTTAAGACAGAAACCCTAATTAGATTCAAGAGCCACACTTCGACTAAGCAAACTGCTACGCATATGCTCAAAGCAGATACAGTACACATATTGTTAGTATTATTGATATCTTTAATGGCATTTAGTTAACCTGACAGAAATAATGTGCAAATAAATACTTTGGGACTTGCCTACAACACAACTTACAGCTTCTTTACACGCTAATTGTTTGACCAACTTTTTTTCTTTCTTTTTTCTTAATTAACTAAGATATGGTTCGTGAAAGACAAGTTACGAACTTGTGGCTAGTGATTGAAAATAAATAGGTAGGTAATGTAGCACCCCGTCCAGAGGGAGCACAAATGAAGTAACACGACTGGTCGCTTCGACCTACGGGCATTGCCAGTGTAGACCATTTGACAGTGTAGTCCTCTAACCCTTTTTTACATAATTTAATTATTATAATAACAATATTTTCAGTACTCACCCAAGTTCAGTTCTAGGCACAATTCCCTTGACATTATTATAGAATGTCACAAGACAGCCAAAGTCTTTGATGGTGGTGATGAAACCGTGAGAGCTGACTCCTGGCTTAGCATCACTGAAATCAGTGATAAGAGGATGAGAGGACTCCACTAGAGTCTTCTTGTGAGTCAACAGCATTCGGCGACGATCTGGCTCGACTGAAAGAACCTTAAAAAATGAAAGAAATTCGGCATCCTTAACTAACAACTTGTAACATTATTTTGTTTTTTTTCATTTAAAGACTACTCAGTGACACCAAGTCAGTGTGTAAAACAATAAAAATGCAAGCAAGATATAAATTCCCAACCATATACATTCGTGAGTAATAATGGGTAAAAAGGTAATGGTAATGTTTAAAGAAATAGGTGTTAGGTCATTCGAAATATAATCTTGGAATATTTTAGGTGTTAGGGATGCAGTGACATTACGGACTTGCTCCTTGTCTAGCTGATCAAATGTTGTCTTCTCTTATTGTTGTTGCTGTATACGCAGGTGCTGCGTTTCCTAGGAACTATTTCTTCAGCGAAATATGTGTAAATTACTTGGCTGTTGTTGCACTGGAAATGGTACCGTGTAACTTAACTATTTTGAATGCAGTATCTACTTAAATAATTTGCTAGCCGATTCTTGGTAAAATACTTTGGTACATTCATTTCTGCGAGCACCGTTACTGCACTACATGACTTCGGTTCAGCTGCGTTGTCCAGCAACGCGTTTGTTTACTCGCGGGTGTCGATCGAGAAAATGAAATAAAAATTGAAATCTAGATTTGGAAGCGCTCTTTTTGGAATTAGTCGTTTTAGACTCCTTCACTTATTTTTAGTCTCCTGTCCAATTTTTCAGTCAAACCTTGCTCTTTTTACTGATCTTTTCAGGGAGTTTGATAGCAATGGTTAATTACTTTACTCCTGGTTCACACTTCGACCCAAATAAAGAAAAGACTCTTTGCAATAGCAGCGGCACCTCGTTAGAGTGTGTTTGTACCAAGAGCACGTTCACTTAATGAGATGGATAATTCTAACTGGAAATCCCGCCCACGAAGCTGGGAGTTTGCAAACCTATTTCTTGTAACACTTTAGTCGTACAGAATTTTCAACAACAACTTTTATTGGAGACCTTGGCACCTTTCCTTGATTTTATTCTCTAAACTTATTCTTGATTATTTATATATTTTACGTGCTGTTTTATTTGGATCATACTCCCTACGCTTGATAGTGGAAACTCAGGAATGAAAAGATTTTTCACTAAGTAAATTCTGCGAAGGTGCAAACCTAGGGTGACATACGGCACAGCCGCATTTATGCTAGTAGAGCACTGCGCATGTACTGACATCAGCGTTGATTTCCGAATTTGACGGATTAGACAGCTGATTGACAGCACGGGTGTGATCCAGATAAAAGCGCGCGGGCCAAACCTACGCATCGGAGTTGTAATGATCAGAGTTGAATGAAGTTTGTCAAGAGCAGAAGTTGAAAGGAGATCATTGGAAATTAAAAGTGAGCAACTAAATAAGAGAATGTTGGAATGATCTGCTAATTCCCCAAAAAGGTCGCTTTAACACCCGTTATATATTGTTATGCAAATTATAACTCATTTTTTTTGTAAAATACACGTTTATCCTTTTCACCCCAACAAAGTTGGTACTTTCATGTCGTAATATAAAGTTTTCTACACGTGAATTTAGCCGCTCTTGGAAGTGAAAATGCTCAGTTACAATGATGCTAAATTAACAGCGCAAGCTGAAGTGTCTTAGAGCTTCGGTGTTTCTGTCTTTCTCTTTTGTTTTCACTGAAAACACCGAAGCTCTAAGACAGGCCAGCCAGGTTAGAGTTTGATTACTTTCTCGTGCCTAGCCGGAGTATTTATAAATCGGTAACGAGCAACAAGACTGTTACTAAACAACATTTTAAAACAAGTAATACAAAGATTAAGACAAACTGAACAATTATTCCTTCGAGACATGTCCGGCTTAATCGTGACTGTCTGTTGTGTGTGTATCGGTGAGTTCATTTAAAAGAGTAAAAACCCGGAATGAAAAGAGTGATTTAAACGCAGCGAAGATATAAAACCTATAATGTTGAGGAAGTGAATCTCAGTTAGCAGTTTGTCAGCGTAATCGGTATAGAGGTGCATGATCATGCACGGCACGCGGAAAAATAAATAATCGAACCAGTTCAACAGCCAATAAATACGAAATTAATGAAATAATCTCTGATATACTTACTTTTTACAAATAATCCTTGCAAAAACAGAATAACCAGGAGGTGGGCCATCTTTGCACTGAAAGTTTTCGAAAGATTTTTACAGCCTCGTTCACTGAACTTTAATGTTGATACGCTTGACAGAACTGCGTCGTTTCTCATGTATGCAAAGGTTTTACTAATTTTTCCATTGTTGTGCAAATTGACTCCCCCTGTGTACAACGTTTCGCTGTTACGTCAGATGCAAAGAATAGTGTATTCTTGTTTGATTGTGTAGCTGCATGTAAAGTGAATTTTACGATTCTGAAAGTTGTCACTAAGGGTCAGAAAAAGAGCTCATGTAATCATGTCGTACAAATCACAAGGCTTCGTCAAAATAAATGATATAACAATGTTGTGCAGTGACGTGGAAATCGAGGTCACTCAGGGTAAGGGTTAAGCTTTAATGAACAAACACAATACGCCAAGATTATTGACGTGTAACCACAACAAACACAAAACAAAACGTAAATGTGCGTAGTGAGTAAGAGAAAGATAACGTCAACATAAATCGTATGTCTCAGCCATAGGGCTGGTCACAGGGTATAGACCGCTATAGGCTGTCGCGCGAACGGCCCTCAAAAAATTGTGCGTTAAGGCGACGATCTACCTGAAATATGCCCTTTTTATGCACAGCTGTCAAAACCCTGATTTTCATCCAAACGATAACCAGGAGCATATCACATGTGTCAGTGCAATACTATAAATAACAACCCCAATTAACCGGCCCCCAGCGGCCACCTCTTGGTCGTCCCGATGAGGGTCTTTCTATTGTCTTTACCCCTATTAAACGCCCATCCAATATTAAAAACGCGTAAATTCACTTTGTTTTGGAAAAGGCGATGGTAGATAAGAATCCAAAATAGAAGGCGAGAAGTGATAAAAATATTCAAACACAAGTTTATCATAATGGTCTTGAAGAGTTGAAGTGACCCCATGTTCACTGAGAAATCGACGAAAACTATTCAAGGTAAGCAAACCCCTATGAAGGGGCCAACCGCTATTAAGCGGCCACCTTCCATTTCCCCGAGGGTGGCCACTTTAGGGGTCTGACTGTGTAAAAA